CCCCCCCCCCCCCCGCCGATCACACACGCATGCATAGTGCCAGGAGTGTGGGTCACTGCCTGCGAATATATGCTCTAGCATCCTGATCTGGGGGGGGGCTATCAGATTTCTCTGCTGGTCTAACAGCTGCTGTAATGGTTACTGGACCTGGGCACTTGGCCAGCCGGCCAGGGTTGGGGGATTCAGGGATTGACGGTGCGGTGGTGCCGGCGGGTGCATGCGGCGCCCTCTCACCTTGACGGTGCGGTGGTGCCGGCGGGCTGGGTGGCAGCGCATGTTGCTGGTGTTGCAGCAGCCGGTGCAGCGCTTCACCTCCACGCAGGGCGGCCATATCAGGAAGTTGGCAGAGGTGGGATCCACCTGACTCCGCGGGATCTCATAGATCACTGTCCGCGTCTTGCAGACTGCCGGCACCGCCTCCTCTAGAGGGGGAAGGGGAGAAGTCACAAATGGGACGCATGAAGGGACCAGAGGGCCATCAGGCAGACAGGCACAGACAGACAGACAGAAACACATATTCAGGAACCTATTGTGTATACGACATATAATACAGGGGGGGGGGTGTTCTCCACTTGGGGTAGATCAGACAAAGAGCTTCTCCCGCAGGCCCTGACTTCAGAAGCAGCATGGAGAAAGGAAAGGAAAGGAAGAGGAAGAGGAAGAGGAAGAGGAAAGGAAAGGAAAGGAAGAGGAAAGGAAAGGAAAGGAAAGGAAGAGGAAAGGAAAGGAAGAGGAAAGGGGACGAAACAATAGGACAGTAGACGATGCAACAGGAAAGGAATGGAAGGGGAAGGAAAGGAAAGGAAGAGGAAAGGAAAGGAAAGGAAGAGGAAAGGAAAGGAAAGGAAAGAAAAGGGGACAAGACAACAGGACAGGAAAGGAAGAGGAAAGGAAAGGAATGGAAGGGGAAGGAGATGAGACAGCAGGACAGGACAGGAATGGAAAGGAAAGGGAACGATGCAACTGGAAAAGGAAAGGAAAGGAAAAGAGGATGAGACAACAGGAAAGGAGACGATGCAACCGGAAAGGAAAGGAAGACCAGCGGGTGCATCTTGGGAGTCTGGGTGACGAGGCAGGAGGGCATGATGGCAGCCCATTCAGGGCCAGAGGAGCCCATTAAGAAAAATACGCCGATGAAGAGGCCGTGAGTCTGCAGCATATGACCACGAAGCCAGCAGGAAGGCCGGGACCCACGCTGCTGCCACTGCGGGGTCAGAGCTCAAATCAGGCCGGCTGAAAGCGGGCCGCCAGCAGGAAGGCCGGGACCCACGCTGCTGCCACTGCGGGGTCAGAGCTCAAATCAGGCCGGCTGAAAGCGGGCCGCCAGCAGGAGGCCGCAAACAGCCCAAAGGTTCCCCCGACAGCCAGGGCCCAGAGCACCGACGACAGCAGCGTGGCTGACGGCATTCTCAGCGGCCCAGGGAACGGCGCGGAGCCGTGCTTGGGAGGTCACAGAGGCTGCTCCTGCTTCCTGAGGGCCCGGGGCCCGGGGAGTACAGCACAGCTCTGAAGAGCGTAAGACAGCTCAGGCCTGCGGGCGAGCCGCGACTTGAGCGCTGAATGTGTGGAATTTCCTCGCTCAGGGATATGTCTCGCTGCCGACGCACGGCGAGGTGTGCATGCCGCGGCGGAGAAGGCAATCCGCCCCAACCACCCCCCACCGCTGAGTATTCCACTGAATAAATGAACTATACATACAGGGTCCGGGCACAATGAAGGTCTGACTGAAACATCCTCAAAATTGTTTAAAAGCACAATGGCCAGCTGCTCACTAGTGCCATCCAGGCTTCCCCTGAATTTCTTTTTTTTGTCAAACAGAACATTACCCGGCAAACAGAAAACGGGAACAAACTATAAAAACACAAACACAGGAAGCCGTAAAAGAATACAGAGAGGGAATAAAGGGGGCTGCTCTGCCAGCTGAGGGAGGGGCCAAACGGACTCACCGATGCTCCGCTTCCGCCTGCTGTGGACCTGCGAGCTCTTCAGGTTGGAAAAGCCAGACAAGAGGTCTTTGTGGTACTTGTGCTTGGACTCCTCGATGACCTCATTTCCTGGAACCCAGCAAGACAAAAATCAGCCACATTACTCTCATTACCCCCCCCACCCCCACCACCACCACCACTACCACCTCACTGCTTAACCCTCCAGCTTTTGAGCACGCCCAGCGCAGGGGCGATTGCAGCAAGCAGGGCCTTGCAAGAACTCTCAGACATGCATATGAAGTGAATAATTAATCATTAGACTGCTGAGGATTATGGGAAAAATGTTTGTTTTCCCAAGTTTTCCCTTTGTGGGCAAGGGTGTAATCTTGGTCCAGGGCAAACATCACAGCGTGCCCTAATCTCCTTCTCACCACCTTGATTTTATGACAAGTAGAGCGACGTTACTTAGGGAGCCCGCGAACCCGCTGAGATGGCAGACACTATGTAATCACTCTCCTGTCACTCTTCTGACACACCCTGGGAAAGCAGAGCATCAAATGCAGGTGTAGCACTGTGCGACAGAGATCTTCATTAGTGAAAGGTGACCGATTATAGGGTGACACCCCAGATGAAGCAAAGCCCTTTTGTTCCCCTTGAACCAATTGTGGCTCTGCTACCAGGAAGTAAAGGTGTCACCCCCGTCCGACTCGCAGGCCGCTGCCCAACCTGCTTTCGTTGCCTCTGAGCAGAGCAGAAGCCCTGATTGCCCAGCCCACCCCACCCTGGCCACATTTCTTTATTTACACATTAAGGTTCTTGCTTTTCTGTGTCTATCTAGCTCCCACTTCAAATATTGTCCTTGCAGTGGTGAGGGGAGGGGGGCATTTCCTCCAGTCCGTCACCCAATCCCCGGGGGGAGGGGGGGC